CTTTTAATATGATTTTTTTTAAATCAATCGCCGGACATAATGCGAGAGGATAATAAATATATAATTTAGTAATATTATTTCTTCTATATTGTATAATTGCATTATTTGTGAACAAAAATAACAGTAATTCTTTAATAAATGTGCTGTGAGAAAGAAAAAATATCAAAAATTATGTAAAATGGTCAAACTTATTCTTCTTTTTCATTTAAGCGTTCTGCTTCGACCTAGAAGAAGAAAATCACATCATTGTTCCATCGTTCAGTTACAATATATAGGTCCTTTCCTTTCCAGGAAGGACACAGATACTATGACACACAGTAAATCATTTCATCTTTGTTTAACGTAGGCAAACAAACAAGGATGTAATGATTCACTTTATTACACTGTGTCTGACTGTGTCCTTGCTGAAAAGCATTCATTGTAATTATGATAAGAGACAATAATAAACACACTTTATCGAATTCTAATTGATGTTTTTTGATTGATTTTGAAATGATTGACTTAGTCAATTTCTTATTGATATATTGTCAATTTGATAATTAAGATAAGACTGACAATTTAAAAATAATTTAAAAATAATTGATTAAAATATTTCTTTTTTTTTTCAGACTAAAAATTTTGGAAAAAATCTGTTTCTTTTCTTGATTTATTTTATTACACACTTCTTCTTCTAATTCCTCGATTCGCTTCTGCAATTCCTTAATCTGCTTTCGCAATTTGTTAACCAAATTGTTAACCATCTCATTCTTAAGTTCGTCATATGAAAACAACAATTCATTGTCTTTGGATGGTGTTCGATGGATCGATTTCCTTCTTGTTTCTCTCGAGATAGACAACGGCTTTCTGTGTGAATTTCAGGTCGCCTTCTACTTTCCTCTTCGCCTTTTCTACATCGGCCCTATAAATTAAAATGTAATTATATATGCATTATATGAACATCCTCGTTACAATATTTTAGTTTATATCTATGACGAATTAGGAATGTTATTAAAGTAACTATCAGGAGACACGATAGTGTCTCAACGTTAAAACAAAAAGTAGCATCATAGCGCGAGAAGTATCCTGGGTTTGGCAGAACCATGGTGGAAGGGATAACATGTGTGCAAATGGACGATTTCTCTCTCTAAATCCCGCTCTCTTTATTTATTTATAAAGTTCAAGAGCTACAAATGTGAAACGTTAAACATGGGACAGTATTCATAGCCCGTTTTTATTTTGAAACTCTCTTAAATATAATGTTTTATGATGTTAGTATAACAGTCCTCGAATTGATTTACAATATTCTATAATTGTACTAAGGCAGTTTAAATGTAAGAATCGCTTATGAATACCGACCTGTAAAGTTCACGTCGTAACGTTAGTACTGAATCTTTCAGTTATATTACTGATCCGTCAGTAAAAGTGATGGCGAGTATTTAATTTATAGAATATTTATGAAGTATATACCATATGTGCGTGCGTGTGCGTGTGCGTGCGTGCGGCTTGCGCGCGCGCGCGCGCGCGCGCGCGTGTGTGTGTGTGTGTGTGTGTGTGTGTGTGTGGAAGATATACATATGATTTATGTTAAATTTTCACCTACTCAAGGAGAGTTAATACTATTAATTATTTATAAGCTGTAACTAAAAAAAACTGAAACGTTATATTTATAAATGTACCTATACAACATAGAATTTGCAGCAATATCATTTGCAACATGCAATATTGTTACATTATTGCTGCAAATTTTATTCTATAAGAATATATTCATATATTCAAATAAATAAAATTATTAAAATTCTTTGTATTTATTATTTGAAATGTTTAACATACATATTTCCTATTTTATATTTTAAGTAAATTTTCGAAATCTATTTTTTATTTAAAATAAGAAAAGAAATAGTTTTCGAGGATTTATTTAAAATAAAAGACCAGTTATTTTTATATTTTAAATAAATATTATTCTATATTTTAAATAAATAAATGCATTCTCTATTTCTTACTTTCTATTTTAAATAATTTCTTGTGACCTATATTTCATATTTAATATTATATTTAAAATGCAATAAGTTTTTGGAACCTATTTTATATTTTTTATTACAAATAAATCGTATCAGTTATTTTACTAATTCTTGCAATTTTACATTAAAATAAGTTTCATAAGTTTACATTTAAATAAGTTTCTGGAATTTATTTTTTATTTTTATTTTAAATAAGTCATATTTTTAAATAAGTCGTATCAGTTATTTTACCAAGCTCTGGTTATGATAAATTGCGTCATTTATTCAAGTTATAAAAAATTATTATTTTCCAACTATTATTTTCCTCTCAGTCAGTGTTTGTCTGTCAATTATACATTTCTTATTTTACTTTTTGATTAAGATTTATATTTTTATGTGCTGTACTCTCTGACTCTATTTAATCAGTATTTATACATATAATCACATCGACGATAAAAATAATTGACGAGCATTTTAATGTCATGTGAAACATAACGATAAGATCTTTGCGGTAAATCTTTTTATCGGAGTGATGGTTTCCTTGCTTAGCTTTATTAATATATTTCAATTAATTTATAAATTTGATTATTAGAACATCAAGGAATTTCCAACAATCAGTCGTTCAACTGTTTGCGAGCAATTTTTGTTGCGATAAAACATTCGTCTGGCCTCATCTAATAATTGTATATTATTATCCGTTTATATTATTGCATTCCTCATTTTAATTATATTACTGCGATGAATCGAATATATCAACCGAAGATATAGCTCAATCGAGAAACCGAAAAACATGTAATAATTATTAATTATATTTAATTTATAGAGAATAATATATTGAGTTAATTTGTAATATTGTATGATTATTACACTTGACTCTTTATGTTTTCTAATATTTTATGCCTTTCTAATATTTAAAATGTTTTAGATATTGGTACAACCTTTTTATTATCTTTTTCAAACGTCCTCCTTCAAAGAGTCCTTTTTCAGGATATCTTTGTTTATAGCCTTCATCCGCTTGTTTATTAATTCAATTTCTCCATTTTCGTTGGATGTACTTTCTTCATTTCCTTCTTACATTGATTTTTTGAATGTATCTGTAAAGTAAATCAATATTAATAGTTGATGCATTTTTTACTGTAAATATATACATATATATTATACCATCTTGATCAAAAAGTTCCCGGAATTATCACCAGGTGATGCTCTGAGTCAGCTGATTTGAATTCTGTTTTTTTAGTTAGGTTCCCACATCTATCATTGACATTCCCACCAAATTTTATCACCATAGCTTGACATTTGTAAAAGTTACGCCGTCTTGAGTACATCTACGACTGCATTTTCGATTTTTTACAGTTTTAAAAATAGAGGTGCATTTACAACAACGAGTGAATTTTTGACCAAGAACGAAACGAATACCATCCAACAGCCATCGAATTCATCTCCCTGCGATTTTTTTCTGTTCGATCAAGTCAAAAAACGATTTGGGAACGCGTTTTAACAGCCAAAAGGAGATAATGGAAAAATCGAAGACGGCTCTAATGGTCGACAATAGAGTTCCAGAAATGTTTCGAGAGCTGGATCAAGCGCTAGCATATATGCGTTGCAGTCGATGGGGAGTACTTTGAAGGAAACAATATCACTTTTGATGAATAAAACTTGTATTTTGAATTTTCTGAATGAATTCCGGGAACTTTTTGATCAAAGTAGTATATCGTAATATACGTCTTTCTGGTGCTTGCTTATCTGTTCTTGAAACTGTCATAGATTCAGCACAATGATGCGCTAGCATTATTTTCATTAGTAAGGAAAATACGACCTGAAATTTTTAACACAAATCGTAGTTATTTCAAAGTACCAGGGTTACACACAAAAAATTTTTGAGTTTAGCTTTTATAATTTTCTGGATCATACTTGCAATTTATTCAGACATATCGAAAATATTCTTCGAAATACTCTCTTCTTCGATTGATTAAGAAAGGGATATCAAGTATTAATTATAGATGTCAAGAAAAAAAATATTTCAAAGAAGATAAGAATAAGTTATAAGGAAACTCCACGAAATTATAATGATAAAGGAAACTTTTTAAACAAATTTTGACAGTATTAATGAGCAAAAATTGCAACAGTTAAACAATTATTGAAAATCTTACAACATATTTTAAGGAAGTCATCGTTATAGGGATTCCTTTCAATGTTTTTCCTTTGATTTTCTGATATAAACCATAAGAAATAGAGAAAAATTATTACACATTAAAGTATGTTATACAACATTCACATATTAAACATTTTGATTTTTAAAATATTTATCTGATATATGTTATGAAGAATACTAGCTAAACTAGAATAACGGATATTTATTGTTGTATGTTATACGTTTGCAAAGTCTATATATATAGTAATGATAATACATATTAATTATACCATTATTTTGCGTAAGCATAATACAGACTATATCAGTATTTAGTCAGAAACAGTTCCTCGAAAAGACATCATTTCAATTGTTTCTGATGTGGTATAGAATTTTCGATATCTAAATTATATACATGAGTTACTGCAATGACAAACAGTTCTTATCTTAAGCGTACATTCTTCCGTGTGTGTAGGGAAACATGAGGTTCTTTTGACTGGTATCTTTAACTATTTGAAATTATAAAAAAATTTTTTGAATATTTGTAAAAGTAAAAATATATAATTTGTAATATGAGCATCAGAGATGTTTTATAACTTATTATACAATCGGAAGATTAGTCGATAGGACGGAGGTAATTTTTACAAGGGCTAGATAATTCAGCGATTTAAACGAAATTTTATGTAATCCAATTTTATGTAATTTTTAGTAAATCTTAATAATCTTTAGCGTTCTCAGGTAATCTTAGGTAATCTGATAGGAAATCTTAAGTAATCTAGAGTAGAAGAGAGGCGAGAAAGAGTTATTTTTTTTCGAAATATGAAAAAAAATTTAATCTGGTATTAAACAAATGTGTAATCGTTTTCTTTAAATATACTCATTTTTCTATAAGACCCATTTAACAGAAAAATAATATTTAGTTATTATAAGATTTAATCATACCAGCATTTTTCATAAACAAGAAATTCCGCTCTTTTGGAACCATGTGGTTTTGAAAAAGTTATTATCTGTTTTGAAAGAACCAAATATTAAATTATATAAGCTTTAATACAAATAAAATCAAAATATTATCTTTTAACAATTGTTGGATTTGTTGGCTAATTTATTTTTACGTTTGTACATTTTTATTTTTTTACCTTTCGTTTAAGAAATACTGTCCCAAAACGAAGTGGTATATCGGTATCAGTGATCTTCCATATATATCGTTGCACTTTTTTCCACACATCTGAGGAACAAACATGTACATTTATATGAAAATACAATAAAATTAAATGCTAAGTCCATCAATAATTTATCATTCTCAGCTATATGAATCATTCTATTTTATAATAATTTAAAAGTTTTAATAATAATTAAATGATAAATAAATTGGGCGATTAGAAATCGGCGCTGTAAGTGGTGTGCATAAGTGACTAAACTTGTTAACAACTAAATGACGCACGTTTCGGCTAACTTCAAGCCTTCATTAGTGAATATATTTTCATGTGTTGTATTTCATGATTAATGTGTGCGTAAATTCCGTTGGCTAATCTCCATACATTTTTTCATGGCTATTTGGATGGTCTCAAGAAATTAGGATCTTAAATATAATATTACAGTAGAATCTCTATAAAAGTAACTTGTCGACACTGGCCTTCGTAAAAGTAAACAAATACGCGAACATGTTCTCGATTATTATATGGGAGATTAAGCATAATTTTTACAAAGATTAAAACAAAAACGGACGTTAACTTTACAGAGATTCGACTATAGTTGTAATATGTTGAATAATAAAAAACAAAAAATAAATTGATATAAAGAGTTATCTCAGGAGTCAACGCATAATGATGTAACAATAATCCATATATAATTAGCATTTGAACGTGTATATAATATAAAAATTGGAATGTGTTATAACATCAATAAAATAAGAGCAGCGATGTTGATGGTTGCGAGTCTCAATAAAATGAAAATTGAACGACTAAAATCAAATTTGTTTGTTGTTTAATGTGAATAATCATTGATCAGCTAGAAAACAAGGATTCAATAGTTTAGTATCTTTTTAAATTAATACTGTTCTTTTTATATTTATCATTTCGGAGATAATTTGCCTATTATAATTTCGCTCAATATTTCGACGTTCTCAATTAAAATTGTGATTATGAAGCGTCCTGTGTTCTGTTATCACAGAGTGAGTGGATTTTGTTAAAATTATTTTTATGTTCAATTATTCTAGTTTTAATTAAAAACTATTATCTTATGAATATATCGACTAAATATGTTAAATATATAATATATATCAATTATTATATACAAAAAAGTTTTTATATTATTACATATATAAAAATTGCGGAGTTATGCCATCTGAAGATACACTATATAACGCAAAGGATTAAGATATAAGCAAAGATAGATCGTTTAAGAGTTACACTTGGAAACATTTCAATTTAAAGACTCTCCTTCTTAAACTAATTATTCTTAAATGATGGTACTTCAAAATGATGATAACTTCTTAGTGAACTAATTTGAGTAATGGTCACAGCACAGACTCTCACATAATACATAGCGCATAAGAGAATTAATCAATCGAAATCCTTCTTTTCTATGGAATAGGAGGAAAGGAAAGATTCTGATTAGTTGATTCGCTTATGCATTGTGCGTTATGCAAAAATCTGCTGCGACTTTAAGAAAGAATGTTGACATACGTACAAATAATAAAATATCATATTTTAATAATTTTTTTAGATAAGTATATATATTTTAGATAATTATTTTATATAATAGAGTTTTACAATATGAATCTCTTGTTAAAATAAATGTTTAATACTGTACAGTATAAATATTTAGACATTTCATACAAAATTTTAATAAAAAATTTATGGTCACAAATAAGTTGTTTACTTATTTTAAAAATTTCCTTCTTCAAAAGATATTATATTAATTGTAGTCAACAAAATTATTTAAAAAATTTAACATTAAGTATTTCTATAATGATGCTATTACTAAAAAGTTTTTATTTTATCTTGTATCTTCAAATTAGATTAAATCATGAGATTCAATCAAAAGAACATATGCATAATGCTTATGATGTAAAAACATATATGGTATCTTTTTAAAAATTACCTTCTTTTAAAATTTATAATTAAGTAAATCTGTAATAATTATCCAGCGAAATATGATTATCATTCAGATGTCAAATCAATGTTAAATCAGTATCACCGATTTTGCTGCGTTAACTTGTAATCAATTTAATAAATCATTTCTTGTTGAGTAGTGTCACAAAAAATATTTCAAAAGATTCTCAATTTTATAGGAGAGAAGTATTATGCATGCAACAAATCAATTTAGGCATTTTCTACTTTCAACTAAAAAATTTTTAAAGTAATATTATTAAAGTAAGATATTATTTCAAATTTTATTTAACAAGCTAATCAATGTGTGTGTGTGTGTTTTCTATGTAAATATTATTTTTTTAATGGACATCATATATATTTTCTTATAATAAATTGCTTTCCCTAAAGAATTAAAAGGTTAATCTAAAGCAAAATACAATTGTAATTAAAAAAAAAATTTTATTTTATGTGTACATACTTTCTTATATCAATATAGTGTTTGATTTATATAAATCGCTTCATATTGTCTTTGTATGTAGCCATCAAAAAGTAAAGATTTTGTTTTATATTTAAAAGAAAAAATATTTGGAAAACAATTATTTTAGATTTCTATCTATTCGTAATATTAAAAACTGTTTCCTAAAAAACAAAGTCTACGTAATGAAACTAAAAGAAACAATCCTTTTAGAGAAACGTCTTATATTAATTTCAAATCTATAATAATAATGTCGCATTGTTATTACTTATGACCTTGTTATTACTTATGACATCTTCGCATATGTCGAAAAAATCTACTCCTAAACGATTTAGGAATGGATTCAAATTTATTAGATAGTCTCATCACTTCTTAATTATTATTGATATAATTAATTAATATTTATAA